TCAGCCTGAGAAGGGTTTATTCAACAGAGAAGGGTTTGCCATGACCTAGTTGCAGCCTTCCAATACCTGAGGGGAGCCTATAGGAAAGATGGAAAGAGACTGTTTACATGGGCATGTAGTGACAGGACAGGGACAATAGTTTTAAACTGAAAGAGAGTAGGTTTAGATTAGATAATAGAAAGGAATTCCTTACTGTGAGGATGGGGAGGGACAGGAACAGGCTGCCCAGAGAAGCTGGGCATGCCCCATCTATGGGAGCACTCAAAGCCAGTTTGGATGGGGCTCTGAGCAACCTGATCTAGTGAAAGGTATTCCTGTCTGTAGCAAGGTGACTGAGATAGATGATCTTTAAGGCTCCTTCCAACCCAGCCAGTCTATGAAACGAAACATGCGTCACTAAGCATATATAATATCTTTAAAGGCAAATAGGCAAAACCCTCCAGCAACAATCAGTTGGTACTGCTGCAGTGAGTTAGAGCTATAGGCTTCAGTAATTTTACAAGTATACATTCTTTTACAGAATCTGAAAATATTGGCTTCTCTTCTCACGTAGTAAATGTTGCTGGCATGTCTCTTTATATGCTGACCTTTGAAAATCAGATTCACATAATGCCAAGTGATACACACAAGGGCTATTGAACAATGTAATCTCACAAAAATAATACTGTTTACAAAGATATCTACTAAGCATCCAGAAAAGTCTTTCTAAAACTTTAAGAAAATCAAATAATAGCTACATCTGAATATTTCAATGTATGAAATTAGTATTTAAAGAATTGTGCCATGTTTGTTTTTTTAAATGTCTATCCTATTCTACACTGCACAGAAAAAAAATACAAATTCTAAACTGTGGTATTCCCTGAATTATAGAAGAGTAAGGGAGGCTCATCATACATGGGGTGAAAAGAGCCTTGTTGTATCTACAGCTCTGTGCAGGAAGGGCAGATAAAGATAAGAATGAGAGAAGAGAGGAGAGATTGGCTTCTCAAATGCATTGCGAGTTTTTGATGTACATTTAAGTTTGCAAGACAAGATGCTGTTGACCTTTCCTTTAGAATGTTAACGTTAATGGAGAATGAGACCTGCAGGTTACAGCAAGAGTGGCTGCTGGGAGTGTGTGCAATGGGTGTTTGCCAGAGTGCTTCAGTGCTTTAATTTGTACTGGTCCCAGGAATGGGTGTTCCCCTTGCACACTTCTTTCTACTGGACATTTGTGAGGAAAATGTGCTTAATAGCAATCCTCAGTTCTGTTTGCCTTGTATTTCTTTATCACTGAACTTTTGGAAAATTACTTTTGCCTTATTTATCTGAGGTTTTTCTATTCCTTTTGGTTATCACTTCTATAACCATATGCCAGAGAAGGTGAGGCAGCCAAAGCACATGCCAAAGCCTTGTCAGGTGTTTTTCTTAAACAGTGAGAGCTAATTTATTTTGTGGCTTTTAGGTTATGCTCCTGCCTGACATCAGCACTGATACTTATCACCAAATGTGTGCCCTGCAGGGTCACTGCTATTTTAACTACTCCTTTCCCATCTTATCTCCTGCAGAATTCCTGACCATGTAGCTTTTCTGATTTTACAGTGTGTTTGGAGTGGTTGTTTTTCATCTTATGCCTTTTTTTTTCTTTTTTTGACTTTCTAGTTTTTGAAATATGAATCCATTCCAATACTAGATGCCAATGCGTTTTTCTTCCTCTTTTTACTCATGCTGGCTGTCGTCCCATTTCAGCTGAATATCTAAACCACATTTCCCCTTTGAAAAGCAACATGAAGGTCATTCTTTGATTTAGGCAGTGAGAGTTACTTACTGTATGAGTAGCATTTTTTTGTTCCATCTAAATTCCTGGAAAGTATCACTCCCTGGAGGGGGAAAGCAAACTCCCCAGAATTATGAACTTGATTAAGGGAAAGCACTTATTGACAAGGTCTCCTTGTTCGTGCCTCACAGAATGATGTATGTGCATGCTTGATAAATCTGCTTCTCACTCCCCACTAGAGGAGTCTTTGCTTGAAGCCCAATAGCTCCTGAGTTCTTGGAATTCAAAACTACACTTCTAAGACTGAAATTTCGATTGCATGTTTTCATTATATTTTTTGTAAAGGTAGAGAAAGAGAAACTCTATTGCTTCTGTAGCATTTTTAAACCTACTCTGGATATTTATAAAGTGATGTCTGTGAAACCATGTCACTTTGGTACCTCTCGGGCTGATTTACTTCTGTTTGTTTAATGGAATATGTATCATTCATTTATACAACTATTAGTTTGAAACTGTCTTGAATAAGTAAACCTGTCATGAATAAGTTTTGGATTCACACAGACTGACTTGTGTTGCTCTGTGGCATGGTTTTTGTGTTTTCTCTGAACTGATGGCTGCATTACTTTTATGACAGAAAATAATATAGCAATTAATGCAACTGAATGCTTTTCTTGTTTTCCTATTCAACAATGGCAGAGTTAATCTTTCAATGGCTAGGTTTTTTTGTGGCCCCAGTTAAGTCACACCAGGGTTCTATAAAAGGCAATTTGCAAGCAATAAGGATCAATATTTCACTGTTAATATAACAATGTACTAATGTATTAATTCTCTGACTATGTTGGGTGTAAGTCAGTAGTAAATTGCTAGAGGAGGCTGAGTGGAGTCAGCTGGCCTCTGCCCTCAACCTGTAGGCATTACTTTAGTAATTTACCTTTAGGTAAAGGTAATTTACCTTTAACACGTTGAAGGAAACAAACTCATAATAACTGTGTTTCACTCTCAGTATTTTTATTTTATTTTTTATTTTTCATTTTATCTTCCTGGGAAAATCAGAAATTGTATTTCTAATTAGTGGATTGTGAACTTAGTTTTCGCTTTTGAGTGTTTGAGGTATTCTCAGACAAAAGAGGTAATAAATTCATTTTCAACGGTTTCCTGTCTCCTTGAAACCCAAAACTTGTTCTAATTGTTTAGTAGACATATCAAGAGGAAGAAAAAATTGACATAAATTTTGTCAGCAGTACTTAAGCATGTCTTCCTTCATCAGGTATAAAATGCTGATTCTATTTTTAAACTTTAGTCTTTTTTTACTTGAGAACATTAGAGAACTTCATCTGGATCAGTGAAGTTTCATTTTGTCTGCTCAGTCTTCAGTGTTGGGTGTTTAAAATATCAACTTAACCCTGCAAATGATAATTAATTTTGGATGTACGTTGCCCTTAGGTATTTGGGAGTGTTCTGTCACTGGGAAAAGAGTGTTAAACCATTAATTTACTGTTGCAAAAAGCAGAAAATAGAAACAGAAAGGCAAAAAAAGAATTAATTGACATCATGTCTCATTGGCAGGCTGCAGATATCATCAGGTAGTTTGAAATCATTACTCTGAAATGTGATGAAGGCATAAAAGCTTTATTTCTGACAAAAAACATTGATTGTTAGGAGACACTGAGAACATTCTGTGAAATTGGCATTGTGTTCTGGTCTAGCAACTTCCAGGAAGCAGGATGTTAAATACATTCTCCTTTAGGGACACTGTCTAATTTAATCTACCAGTGTCTCATATGTAGATATATGTAGATACATGTATGTGTTTGTCTAAATTACACTCATGTGAAAGATTACAGGGTTAATTCAGATACAGAAAACATAATTTTATCCATCTCATGCTTGTATTTGTGTTTTACATTTGGTGTTCTTTAGTATCATTTAGGTGACAGGTCTAAAAATGAGAGAATAGGAAGGCAGTGCTCACATTGAACATTTCATTTCAGAGCTGAAACTCTTACAAGTGTTGCAGGCAACAGAACATAAATCAGTACGTACAGTTGGGAAAAAAAATTTGAATTCTTTGATGAATCCTTTTATACAAGTTCCAGGGCAGATTAAACTAAGAAACTCAAAATATGATTTTACCATGAAACATGCTTCAATAGTTTTAATAATGTTAAGAACTTCAGGTACTGTTGAAGATAAAAGATTAAGTTAAATACATATTAATTAATTAATTTATAGTTTGTCATTTGTCAACTCAGTGACAGATATGGAAGGGAAACAAAAAATCATTTATTCATATTATTTTTTTCCTATGTCATGGCCAGAATATAATTTTTATATTCAAACCGCATTTTCTATATATGGGTTTAAATAATCACATGGAGCAAGAAGCAGAAGAATGAAGTCCCGAATTTTGGTTATTTATTCCAATCAAACCACACCCAATTTCTAATTTAACCACTTTACACTTTTGTTGTATCCTGGTTCTTATTTTAAACCTCTTCAGACCGGAGACCATACTTTCTTTTGGTTATTCTTTGCCTTGCTTATCTTCTTTTTAACACTGTTCTTTGACAATTGTTCTTTCAGTAGCAAAGCTGACACAAGCAATCCCATACCCTTCATTCCTTTAATCCCCTACCATTTGTTCCTACTGCCATGCAACATTTCCTCATCGTTTATGGGGCTTTGAAGTGGTCTAGGCTCAGCTGGAGAACTAACCCCAGTTAAAAATAACCCAGACACATAAAAGTGTTGAGTGTTAATGTCATTTGCTTGACTTCGCAATCTCTCAAGCAGTTCAGCCACCAAATGTGAGAGACTGGTCTGGGTACTGTGATGTATTTGCAGGGCTGAAAGAATGCAACAGCAACAAAAAAATTAATTCAATAAGTGCCAAACACTTGAGTGGCTCCTTAGATTTTAAAATTCTTTTCCCAATCACAGCTATTTTACACTCCCAGTGGGTTTCATGATATTGCAGCTCCTTTATCTGCAACTGCTCTTGCAGTCAATAGGAGATCAGGGTGGTTTTTTGGATATTGCTAACTGACTTAAATCATCCATGTATCAACTGATAAAGATAGGAGTGGACTTTCTGGTAACTGTAGGTAAGTAAACACTCAAAAATATACACTAAAGTCTAGTTAAATATTGATTAATCTTTTTAAAACCCAGAGCACAAAATCTTTTATCTGTTCTTTATTGATGAATAAAAGAGCAGAAGGTTTTATCCTTTTCTTTTTTGCAGGTGTAGAGCTGAATTCCTTGCGCCAAATGAAGATTCAGAGAGCTATGACAATGCTCACAGATGTCAGACAGCTCATCTCAAGTGGAGGGAGCGTGAATCAGAAGAATGATGAAGGAGTTACCCTGGTGAGTGGGAGCATGTCATCATCACCCTGGGAATATGCATGTGTTGCAACAAGTTCAGCATGTTTGCAAGGCAATTCTCTTAAGGTTTTGGTTCTACCTGGTATTTTGAAAATAGGTGTATGTCAATTGCATGCATTATATGGATTTGAAAATAGGGTAGTGCAACATCTCAATGACAATTTTTTTTTCTCCCAGTCAATAAATATGCAACATCAAATTTAATAGTAAAAATATTAACATCATAGTTTAAAGCTGCATGGGATAACATGTGGTCTCTGACATTCCATGTGAGAGAGGGACTGAAACTTCACTCAGTGATCCCTGGTTTTGGCTCGTATCTTCTGGCTGAGCCCTACTAAAACGCTTTTTTGTGCAGCAATCAAATCTTGATTCAGTGTATTGAAGCATTCACCATATACATGGAAAAGTACTCCTACTCCCAAATTTGCATGTTATTGCTAGTCACTGGGTTTTATTACACTTTTTTTTCTGCAAATAGATCTTCTATCCATTTGTTTTGTTAGGACTTCTATTTCTTCAGCAGTCAAATAATTCTAAATTAATGTGTATTTCCATAGCATGTCTTTGGAATGTTGCCTTTGCATATAAAATCTTGAACACCATTATCAATCAATCAATGGTAAATCAGCAGCATTATTATATTGAATAAATTTTTTAAAGTACCTTGTTTTTTGCTGCATATAGTCTACTAATATTATTAGAGTACTAATAATTATTACTATAATTTCTGCATTTGCATTGAATTGCATTGCCTGATACTGAATTAATATACTAAATCATTCCATATTTTAATACCTGTGGAGTGTTTAAGCTATAACCAAAAAAGTGATCAGTCTCATATCTGGGTTTAATCCAGTCATTGTCTCTCTCCAGAAACAGAACACTGTGACTTTTGGGGTAGCAACCCCAAGGGAGTTAACTGTATTTAAAAACAGGAGGGAAGCAGAGAAAGGGTGGGAAGAAACAGCACAAGATTTAGTTTATTTTATAAAAGCGTTAATTTACCTTCCAGTTTTTCTGGTATTTTTATCTAAGCTGCTAAATCACATAGCTATTGTATTTAACTTCTATTGCTATTTTAGTCAGAACTGACTGAGTTATGATCTTAAATAAATCTTACTGTATATGACCTTTCCTGTAGTTATCTGGAATAGTTGAAATACATTTCTGAAAGATGTTTAACAGAACAACAAATATTGGGAGAAGAACACTGTGGATACTTTGAGGTTTTTGCTGTTTGCTTAGTACAATGTTGACAAAAGGGATATTTCTTGCATGAAGAGTTCTTATGCTGAAATCTGTTTTTTTCAAGAAATAGATACAAAGTAGGTAATTTTGCTTTTCTTTGAGATTTCTATTATGTGAAACTTTTATTGACAAACTGATGGAAAATCCAGAATTTGTCAAACAATTACCTCTTTATTCATGTGTCTTGATAGCCATGAATAAAGCCAGCCTGTGATAGGTGTATGGATATCAGAGGGTTCTGGGAATGGCGTTTTGTTCCTCTACATCTATCTGTACAAAAAAGCCAAATATCTCTGTTTTAAGTCTCAAATCAGTTTTGTTTTCTCTTGACAGAATATATATCTTAGTCCATGTGTAAGTTAAGATGAATAAAGCAAGGAATTATTGTTTTTAATGTATAAATACACACATTCTCATAAACTCATAACACCTACATTTTGCACATGCAATACCAACAGACAGCACTTTTTTCTTTGAAATATTTCAGCCATAAAATATTTCCTAGGAACTTTTACACTGCTTGAAAATAGCACTTGTCAAGTTGATGTCTGACTAGAAAATGTAATTTCTTCTGTTAGAACACACCCTCCCTCCACCATGAAGCTGTGTCAAATCACAGGAAAAATTTGAGGGTTTTGTACATTGGAAATCATAGCATGCAAAATCAAAGTTCTGCCCCCAGGGGAGTTTTGCACCCTCTCCAGAGGGAGATTTTTGATGAGTTGTATGCATTCCTTCCCTCTGCATCAATAATGTTCATAGTGAAAACTTTATGCATACTCTCTGTGTGCAGCTGAACCAGAAAACAGGTAAGGGAAATAATATCCTGAACTCTTATTTTAGTGTCTCCTATTCTTACAGGGACTTTGGAACTACACAGTTGTAGTAACAGGTTTATTGCGAGACCTTTTTATTGTCATTATCCATCCATTTGAATCACCAGGAAAATAATATCTTTTTCTAACAATTCTTTGAGGAGAAAAAGCCATGCAGTTGAGCTGTGTGGTTTGGGGATACAGGGACCAACTTTAATCTGACTTCTCTATTTCTGCAATATTCCTATGCCCTATTCCTAGTGTGAGTATTAAGTTCTTCTGACTGGGGATGAGCAGTTATATTTTGCCAAATTCCAAATTCAGGTCTCGTCCTCCTTGTTCCCAGAAGTGAAGGGAATGTTTGAGATCACAGCAGACGAATATGAGGAAGTAAAGACAACTAAACTGTAACCTGGATCAATCTCATAATATGAAATATGTGCCTCAGCAGTTATTCACCATGTATAAGAAACAATTTCCACCAAAACCTGCAAATAGCAATTTTTCCTTGATATAGTATTCCTTTTTGTATTTTTTTCTTCTACTTTATTATTACAAGAGAAAATAATTTTATTGCCCTATTATGTCTTTCTCTTTTTCTCTGTGCACAAGGCCTATTTGGTATTATATTGTTTTTATATTTTTTTTTGCACACTTGCTATTTGTTTTAAATAAAATCTCAGAAAGGCAGTAGGAGTTATTGATATTAAAAAAACTTGTCCTATAAATAACATATAGTGGATTGATTGCTGATATAAATGCCAAACACATACATTGCCTTAAATAATAATACCTTGCAGAAGATAATGTCCAGCTCCTCAAATCATGCATTAATAAAGATATTTTTGAGGTTTTTTTCTTTTCTTGTCATTACAGTTTTCATACTTTATCATTCTTACAGTATTTGCTACTCAGAGTGACAAGCCCTGAGCAAACACAGCTACCTTTGAAGTTGTCCCTGTTTTAGCAGCATGTTGCACTACTTGACCTCCCGAAGTTCCTGCTGACCTGAGTTTCTCTCACTCTGTTACTGCATTTTCTACCCTCCTTCTATTCCACTTTGACTCTTAAATGAAGTTTAGAGATACAGAAAATCAAGTAAAATTATTTAAACAATTACCAATTAAAATAATTAAGTATCTACAGAAGCAATGCAAGTATAGAAAATAAAATCGCTGTAGTTCAAAACTGAGAAAGTATTTTTTTGTCACTAATTTTGTGCTGCAGTCTCAATGTGCTTGGTTTCATTATGTGCTAATGAATTTATTTTGGCGTAATGTCAGCTTAAATCTGGAATATTTGAACTGCCACTGAAGAAAGTTAGTTCTAGGCTTAAAGAGAGCTCAAGCCCTGTTGAAATCTGTGATTCTACCTTGGATCCTGAAGTCTTTGAATGTGTTTGAAAGAATGTTTGCTTGAAGTTATATGAAAAGTGATAGACTAGGTTAGTTTAGTTTTTGTTTAGTAGCTCACAAAAGGCTAGAATTTTTTTTTTTCTGGTGCAACTTGTTTATAAATGCTGAAAAAGATTTGTCAGTAATTTTCTAGCCTGTAGTAATCACATGTACATTTTGTACTTCCTGTAACTGTGATTTAGTAAAGATATGAAGTAGCAGACCATGGATGAGTTCTTCAAACTATTAACACATGCAAAATTTAACTTTTATATTGCAGCTGCATGTGGCCTGTGCTAATGGATACAAGAATGTTGCATCTCTGATATTAGATCATGGGGCTGATCTCAATGTAGTGGATAATCAGTACTGGACACCCCTACATTTGGCTGCAAAGTATGGACAGGTAAAGCATGACTATTCACTTGCTTCTCTTTCCTTAATGGTAGTCTTCTGCAGCAATAGCAAATGCTTTCAAGATGGGGAGAATATTCTTACTTTAATGTAAAAAACTTTCTAATTTGTGTAGTACAGATTGGCACCTCAAATGACAGAGACCATTTGAGAATGAGCCTTGTAAAGCTATCCACCCAACACTGCTCAATCTACCACCAGCAACAGTTTGTCTACAGCAAAAAACTAGGTTTGCACTGACATTTTATAGGAAGACAAACACTTGGTCTGTTAATTTTTTTATGCAGTCTGATATCAAAGTTTGTTTAGCTTTTTTTTTTTTTTTTTTTTTTTTTTTTTTTTTTTTACTGTGTATATTTCTAGAAATAAATGTGCCAGGATTCATTTAGCAGTTGTGTTGAAAGTTTTCCAATCACTGAGTTGTGGAAGCGTGCCCTGGGTTTAGAGGCCATGCCTAAATATGACTTGTCCCTCTTAATACCTTTTCAGTTTTCTTACCTTTTCAGTCCTCTTTCACTCTCCCTAGTCATGTTCAGTGAGTCTTTTTTACAGTTTGGCCACTTTAGGAGTCCTCCACAGCTCTCCACCTCACAAATCACCACTTACCCGTAAGTGTCTTCCAAAAACCTCTGTGATGCATCTTAGCTCAGACTTCAGAAAATAAATAATGCACTTTCTAACAGGAAAAGATATAGCAAAAGCTATAGTAAAATAGTAAAAATAGATGTGTTGATTTAGATTAGTTAGTTCTGCTGGGTAATAGATTTCTCCTACTGAGATACCCTGTGCCTGCTCTTTAATAGAGTGTCAAAGCTCTGCATATTTTCATAATAGATTAAGTCATTGGGTTATATATATGTATAAACTTATATATAGCTTGAAGTGTATCCTCAATAACTTCAGATAGTGTAAATTTACAGAGAAAAATTTCACACAAAAATATAATGAACCAAAATTTTGTTAGCAAGTGAGCTACTCGGAGTATTTTGAATTTACTGTAGATTTAATTTTCTCATCCTATCTTACCCTGTGCTGTAATTCTGTTACAGTTCTACTACTCTCACTGATCCCTCTGCACTCACTCTGCCTGTGTTCAGACTTCAGTAGGGCAAGAAAGTTCTTACTCAGAAGTGAGGGATAGCAGTGATGCAGTCTTGAGCTTCTTATTCTCACATTTTAGGATGGCTTACAGGTTAGGGTTTTGTACTGCAAGAGTGTGGTTATACTACAGCTTGCACATTTCTATTATTGTGAAGCTAAACCCATGTTTAATTGAAGAGGACTTGAAAGAACTCACTTGAAAGGGCTGAGAAAAATTTACCTTTCCTTATGTGTGTGCAGCACGTATATGTTTGCAATACTAACTCTGGATGACTTGAAATACTCTTTTTCTTGTGAAGAAAGGTATTTTTCTTTCAGAAACAGGCCTATACATGTAAAGTTTGTAGTTGAAAGTGGCTAATGGAAAAAATGTCTTTCTCTTCAAAGAATTCTAAGAGCTCAGATTGCTATTTTTGAAATGATTGGTTTTGCTGGCATTTTTGTTGAACTGCATCTCCCTTATATCCCACATGACAACAGTGTTAATTCTTTCTATTTCAGGAGTTTTCAGTGAGGAGTCAGGGACCAGCTGCACTAGTCTTTATACAGCCAGTATGGGTACACACACAGAAAGACCATGAAAGAACATTGTACTCTTCTTCACTAAAATTAGCTAAATACAGACCAAATATGTTAGTTGTGTTAGTGAATAATAAAGTTTAGAGATATCTTATTATCATTATATATAATTTTCCAGTGTTCTTAAGGAGATAAATATAGCTTTCGTGTGATTCTGTTTGTAAGAAACAAGCAAATAATTTAAATTCCTTTTTAAAAGGGATTTATTACCTATCGTCTACTTCTTTCAGTAACTACACCATCAGGGTGTTTTTAAAATGGCCTTTGTTATGATGACAATATTTTAAAATATTTTTTAGCCTTAGAATGAATTCACATGCATACCATATTTATAATTCCATTTTGAGTAATTAATTAGAGACTAATGTGAATATTGTGAGTAATGTGCTCCTATTTGGGGTAAATAGTATGGCAGAAGGGAAATAACCTAAGACAAGGCATGATTTGGATAGAGTCTTTTAAATTAAAATATATTTATGAGGAAATAGTTGTTTTTAGACGAAAATTTTAATGTTCTCCTAGAAAGTAATTAATATAAATTCTGGACTTGATCCCTTACAGTTTTCACACTCTTCTAACATGTATTTGTGGCAGAGTTTTAAAAAATGTGACACTTGCAAAAGTTGCTACAGTGACAAATCTCTATCTTGTTCTGGAAGTCTATCATAAAGTCTATTTGGTTTTAGTTTGCTGTCCTTTTAAGTTCTTAAGAGGATTTCTGTCCCTCCAGAAATGTATTTGAACAGCAAAATAGCTTTTTCTTGTCTTATAGCTTGTCTAATAAGCTATGATCCTTTAACGAGTGGTCACAGGAATTTCAGAAAACCTGTTTTAAACCATTCTCATTGAATAGTTTTCTAGCACTGATGCTGCACTACCTGCAACCAAACCCCATCCAATATAGGAATAATATACCAGGAGTTATAAGGACTGATAATTTTTCCTGTTTATAAAATAGCTATAGATGTATTTTTCATGTGCAGAAGCTTCTCACCTTAATACAATGCTATTGAATTAGTTATGCAAATTACAGATTTAGCTTTTGAATTCTTCTGTAGTATAGACTTTACATATATGTATTTTGCATATTATCTTACAAAAAAAAAAGTTATGATATGAAGAAATTGTTACTTTATTTTAGAGTGACATCCAGACTCAGTTGAAGCACATGAGCTCTATGAATATACTGTTCTATATTTGCAAATACACAAAATGGGAAAAAACCCACACATTTGGCTGTTTGTAAGAGCATAGAAATAATAGAGATGGTACTAATTTACATTACCTGGGGGAAAAAAAAAGCAAAACCAAGGAACTGTGTAAGTTTTAAATTTATAGTGAGAAAATTTAATTTGCATTGTCACAGGAGGAAACTTGTAAAGAATAAAGGCACTGCAAGCTTCTTGTTACAAATCTCAAATTGTAAATGAAGTAGATTATAAAAATCATACTGCTCCGTCTTCCACAGTAATTTATATGTGAAATAACTGGAGAAAGATACATCAATCTGAGTGAACTAATCATGTGAAAGACATTGCATCCACACCTTATAATAAACCTGGCTTGTAGAGATTCCTTGATAACGGCAAACCTATTTTTATTTAGGATGGGGTTCTTCTCAACTAAATTTAGCCAAATAAACTTAAGGACAAATTCAAAGCCTTTTCTTGCCTAATGTGAAGAATCACCTCTAGAAGACAACTCAGAAAATTCTAGGGGATGCATTTAAAATAGGGGCAATGGTTCATTGCTTGTAGGTCTGACCCTCCTTGGTTATAGAAGTTCTGGGCAATTAGCATATGTGAGAGATGCAATCTGAACATTTTTAAATCCTTCATGAGGATTCCAGATCCAAGGGTGGGGCCAAAGGATGGGGGAACTGCCCACGGGTGTTCTGGGTCTCCCCAGTCGCCATTAAGTGGGCATGGAGCTGATGCTCACTGTACATTTAGAAAACATAAAGTTGCACAGAGTGAATCCTAGAGAAGGACTAAAGTTAGATACTTAGAACAAAACCAAACTTATAAGCAAAACATAGCAGAATGCTGTTGTATTGTTTCCAGAAAGGGAATGAGTAAGAGTTTTAAGTGTCAGTATTATCTGATGTTGAAAAAAAAAATCATCTATTTTTACAAATATTTGTAAAGAAAACCACTTTAATGCATAAATTTACCATTTAAAAACATTATTAGTCAGAATATTAAAACAGAGCATGGGTGAATGATAAATGAATTGTCCTGTTAGTGACAGAACATGTAGATCCAGAGTAGAGTATTTTTCTTGCATAGGAATACAGGACATTGCTGGTGAGTTTGAGGATTATGTACAGTATAAAGCTACTGAGTACAAAATAGGGCAGCTGAGGCTGCTGCCTGAAGATCAGTCTCTGTAAGACAGGAATCTGCTTTACAGGAACAGATTGGGTTATTAATGCGTGTAATAGACTGTTAATTGAAATACTACCAGTCTGCAAACATTAAAAAATAGACATATTTTTAAACAATGATATTCTGAGTTTCTAGGACTGCTGTCATTTCCCCTTCCATAAGTATTAAGGCTAAAGGCAATTTTGTGTTTTTAATACATATTGATATTAACATTATACCCCAAAAATTATATTATTGAGATATTAAGATCGGAGTTGCTTATCTTAATCATTTTACCCTAATAAAATGATGGAAAATAATAACCTCTACAACACACATCCAAATCTCCATCTGTGACACCCAAAAACCTCTTCAAATAAGATTATTAAGGCAACAAAACTAGCCTCAAGAAACTAGAATATGTCCGGGCTGCCTATGTAAATTTAACAGGGTCTTTTGGACACAGATGTTTTCAACCCTGTTTTTGATGGCATCTGGGACTCCTTTGCCTCCCTGTCATGCAGCAGGGGCAGCGCTGGTGTATTTGTGGTTGCTGTCTGTGCACACCAGAGCAGGACACACGTCCCTGCCCGTGCTGGCACTGGTGCCAACTGCAGAAGGGCAACTTGCATTTCTCAGGCTGGCTCCTTAATTTGAATTTAGCACAGCAATCACTTTGTGGACAGCTAGTAATCTGGCATTGGAAGTGCTGTCCCTGCTGGACATCTTCCAGCTGCTGTGATCAGGAGAGTGCACACTTGCCCTCCCCATGGTGGGAATAGGCTGCAGCTCTGACATTTGCCTTGGGTACTTTGGCACAATTCCCAGGCACAAGCTGTTTCTTTGTTGTTTATCACAGAAATGTCACCTTTCAAACAGCTATCGGAAACATGCAGGTCAGAGCTGACTCTGCAGTAGCTTAAACACTACCTCTCCCAAAATTTCA